GTAGGCATGACCCATGAATAAGACAATTATGTCAATTTCTATTGTGTACATTTTCCAATCAAATAAACCTATTGAAACTTTTAATCAAGGTATATAGATGTTTGGAGAAAATACGTACGTAGGTGCGAATTAAAACTGATCACAATAATATTTTTTTTTATGTTCAAAATAGTTCATATACTGATATATGAAGGGTGTCCCTAAGAAGTTTTTATCTACAACCACCACAGTAAATCGTTTATTTTATATTGGTTTGTTTATAAGTAAATACATCATTACAGATACTGTTACGTAATGAAATCCCAAAACTGTTACGTAATTATATATATTACATAACAGTTTCATTTATCAAACTATCCATATTACTCCGTTGCTAGGTTACGATAAATAATTTTGACATTTCAGAAATAGAAAAATCGCCATTTTTGTAGCTACAAAATAATTTTTTTAAAGAATTAAATGAGTTCGTCAGATAGTACAAATTAATTTCAAGGAACTCCTGATATTCTTGAAAAAGCTGCTAATAATACTAACAAGTTACTGCCTTTAAAATCAAGGTATGAAATAGTATACCAAAAGCTTGTGGACTGACGTATAAAAAACAATATAAACTAATTATCTGATAATGTGCTTTTGGCATATTTTGGGGAACTTGTGGAACAGTTCAAACCTTCATCATTTTGAAACTTACCCAAAATTAAAAGCATACTTTAAAAGGCAGTCAGATGGTTTAAAAAGCAGAAATTATTGTTTTGATGAAATAATTGATGAAATATTTAAATGAAGCTCTTGATTCATAATAATATTAACAAAGGTTTGTATCTAAAACAATTTTTCTTTAGTTAATTTAGTATTTGAATTTGCAAATTACAATATTTTTAATTAGATGTATTTAATAAATGTTATAGATTACGAAAAACCTTCTCGTTATTATGAATGTATGATTGTGGTTGTAAATAAGGTATTGTACATTACTTGAGTTGTAAGAGCAATTACATGATTGTAGAATTAATAAACTCGCCGCTAACGCGGCTCGTGCGCAACTTTTCTACTAGCATGTAATTAGCTTCTTACTACTCTTGTTATGTAATATACTATTACAGAACACTAGCACAAATTCTTGAAGCTAAAATATAAGGATTTAGCTAAATTTACATTAGTCCAAAAGTTAACAGTTTTTAAAATATAGGCTTTCATAGTTATTATAAATATTTATTTTAGATTAGATTTGAAAGGAGTTGGACATTATTTGCCCTTGTCCACCGCGACTTTTTCAGATCTATTGCGGGATTCCGTTTTTGTTTTAGAGTATATCGTCTAGCTTGGTCTTTTTAATTAGGCTTGGTAGCTTTGACAGTGGCTCCCGCATGTAGAAATCTCAATCTAGCCAGGCCTTCACACGGGCACAGGATGTGGTTTGATGTTTCCTCTTCTTTACAAAACCTGCACAATGTTGCTTCTTCTGTTGGATTGATCACACATGTGCCTTCTTAGGCGACTGTGTCCGGTAACAAGACCTACTGTTATTTGAGATTTTTGATCCAGTAGGTCTTTCGTGACGTTGGCCGATGGTTCCTCAATGAATTGTTTGGCTTGTCTCAGTCTTGGGTAGGTGTTCCACCATTCCTGAGAGTCGTTCTACATCCATTGTTTGATGGATGCCTTGCACAATGCCTTAGCAACTCTACAGAAGGGTTCGGGGGCCTGTCATGGTCTTATCCGAGTCTTCTCGGGCTAATTCGTCGGCCTTTTCGTTGCCTTGATATCCCTCGTGGTCACTGGCCAGTCACCTTATTTTGACTACTTGGCCCTGCCAGGTCTTTTACCAGTCGTATTTGATTTCTTGTGAGAGAATTGCCTTTAGAATTGCTTGGCTATGAGAGTAGATGACAATAGTTTTGCCTGATACTCGCCGATTTTTTATTTTTCTTGTAGAGTGTTGTATGGCTATTAGTTCAGCCTGAAACACTGTTGCTTCAGCCAGACACAGATTCGTCCATGATTAGAACTACCTAAGAATATTTCCTAGCAGCAAGAGGTTAAGAAGAAGAAAAACAATATATGACGAGGACACTCGCTTCTCGTTCAGGGACCCATCAGGACGTTTTTTATAGACAAACAAAATTAGCCTCGGAAAGAGGGTAAACAAATAGGTATAATACAGAGGAAACAAGATTAAGATTCCAATCATAGACGAATCTTGGTCTCTCAGAAATTGTAAGAGGCAATTGACAATATCATCAGAAAAATATATGTTAAAGCTGTTTCAATATTTAAGGGGGATGAAATGCTATTTTTTATAAGATTCATATAAAGCATGTTTGAATGAACTGTGTATTTTTTGCATTGGAAGAAAACGTGATTAAGGTCTCCAGTTGTTTCACAAAAGTCACAATTTTCATCTTCTTTTACATTAATTTTAAACAAGTGTTTGGGATAACTGGCATGACCAAATCTGGTTCTATTTAAAAAAGTAATGTAGTGTCTTGGGATTATATGATTTTTAAACCAGGGTGAGTTTGGAATGTGTCTTTGAATTTTAGTGTACTGATTCGAATAAGTAGAACAGAAAATTGTGACCAATTATGCCTCCATTTTCTTATATTGTTGGATTTTATCAAGGCAACAATATTTGGGCTACAGATGTTATGAATGGTGTTTTTATTGCAGATTTTGCTAGCATATCAACATATTCATTGTGTTTAAGTCCAATGTGAGCCTTTATCCATATAAAGTATATATTTACGTTATTATTAATTAGTTGGAACAATGCCTTTTTGATCAAGAAAAATGTATGGATTTGAATTAAAATTTAGAATGTCCAGAGCTACAGCCGATTTTAAAACAGATAAAGAATCTGAAGCAATTAGAGCTGCTTCTGTGTTAGATTCTGTTGCAAATTATAAGGCTTCTAGTACCGCCATCGCTTCTGCAGTGTAACTAAAAAAGTTATCAGGTAGTTTGTAAAGAGCTTTAATATTAGGAGACGAGACGTAGTAGGCACAACCAGTGACTAGGTCTGACTTGGATGCATCGGTGTATCTGTATCTGTAACGTATGGAGGGCGGGTTACCCCACGGCACTTAGGCCTCATTAGGCCCATTGTGCATCCTCCTGAGATGATAGGTACCTTCTAGCTCGTAAGCCAGCCTACAGATTTAATGTAGTTGACAACGTCGCCAAGAGGTGCTTCTCTTATATCGGCCGGTGTTAGCCGATACTCGCCGAACACAAATCTTCTAATAAATGAAAGCGTCGAGCAATCGTAAAGGATATGCTCGAAGGTACTTTCGTACTTGGCAATGACCAGTCAGAATGCCTGTGACTAGGCGCAGATTCTGTCTAGTCATAGTCAAGTATTTGTCTGCTGCAGTGTTGTCAGGATAACTTTAGAGCTCCCTGGCAACTCTGCTGTTTCTTGTTTCATCCCATCTTTCCTTGAATTTCATAAGGGAATGTTCTTTGATTAGGTCTGTCACTCACTACCGATTTTGTCAGGCCAATAGAAGGGCCAGGTCCAAAATGTATTTGGTTGGCTGCTTTCTTGGCTAGTGAATCAGCACCTTTCGATGTAGCGTGACCTTTAATCCATCTTAAGGTAACCACATTGTTGATCGATACTTCGGCCAAAGCTTCGTAACATTCTAGTACTAACCCTGAATAAATTCGTGGTCTGTTCAGGGTGAGTAGTGCTTGTCTGCTATCTGTATAGATGATAAGGTTCCTTCCAGTGATATTGTTTCTGGTTATTTGCATCGGTGTATAAAACAGTATGTTCAGGAAAGCTATTTAGGTTACAAAGGAGTATATTTGAACAATTATGAGGACTTTAATCATAATAGGGTTGTCTAAGTAAGACTTTGTAAAGAAACAAGGAAAGTCGGATGTAATGAAGAATTGGTCGAAAATACCTAGGGAGTCGAACACTATCTTACAATTTTGAACAGCTTTACATAACGGCGGTGAGTTTTTATAAATCTGGTATTTATTTGTTAGATCATATGTATTAAGTTGAATAATTTCAGGAAATAAGGTTGAATTATGTAAGAATGCTTTGAAGAGAAATTTTTGACTTATTCTATTCTATATTTAATGGTTGGCTCTACAGCTTCGATATAAAGAGATTCAGTTTTTGTAGATTTCATAGCACCCAAGCATGTGCGTAGTACAGAATTTTGAAAAACTTCCAACTTTTTCAGTAGAGAATTGGCTGATTCATACAAAATTGCATATTTTTGCATACTGTCCTAGATTTTTTTAACAAATTACCATTTTAGCTACACCCTTTATAACACAAAGTAACCACACAATTTCATGTTCTATCAGAATCCGGAATAAAACTAGGAATGTCCCATTTCAAATAAGAAAGTTGACTAGGTACTTCCGGTATAAGCAGAAATGACAGAACTGTCAAAATATTTTAGATGGAAAGATCATAACCTGTTTACTATCTTTTATTCTATTAAAAAGATGAAGTAAGTTGATTTTGTGTGATTTTGAAGAAAATTTATTTATATTATTTGATTAATTTGATCGACAAATTTGATCTCCACAAGAAATTTGCTTCTTTTGACATATAGATATAAACATATATTAAAATGTAAAGAAAAACGACAGAAGATCAAAATCAATATATTTGGTGTATATAGATAACTTTATCACTAATTTTTTATGGGAGATTTTTATAATATAGATGTTTATCAATTATTAGAAAGATAGATTTTTCTCTATTTAATTAAAAAATAGAAGAAAAAAGAGGAAATCAATTAACCCCTCAACTCTTAATTTACCCATTCACAGACATATTATATTGAAAAGTAGACTTAAACGATGTAATTTAATACTGGCAAATTGGCAAATTTTTACCCCCTTTGGAGGGGTGTACCACTCTTGTTATGCGTTTTCGGATATGTTTATTTAGTAAATTGACATTTTTTGACGTACTATTAGCCATAGAGAGTTAGTCAGGTCTTTAACTGTATATCTATTTAAGTACTTACCATTTTCGTTAGTTTCTTTAATATTTGGACTGCAATTTTGATAGGACATACTAAGGTGCATCTAAAAGGAATTAGCGGACACTGTAACAAATAAAAAAGTGTAAATTTCTCGTTTTTAATAAAGACACAATTATGTGTGTAATATTATATGGTAGATGTAGATAATGGGATTAAGTTTGTTAAACTTAGCATCAGCAAGATTCGAGAGATACTAAAATATGCACTAGGGGGAAAGATAAGATAAGATAATAAAAAAATAAACGCACTGTAGTGGAATATTCAACTAATTTGTTGTTTGTCGAATATCTCAGAAACCGGTCATAATATTTTGGATTTCTAAACGTTTTCAGACGATTTTGGTTTTGAAATTAAAAGTGGCAGGCCCTGTATTGTCTTTAATTACTTAAAGTATTATACACTTGCATTGGTGGACGAAAGCTAATTTTAAAAGCAGAGCTTGTCTGACAAATTTCATAACCATCACAGAAATGATTAATTATTTTAAAAAGAAACTGATATAATGATGCTCTTGGGACATTTAAATGGGTATGTAAACTTCATTTGGTCATATTTCACACTTTTGACAGTTTGACACTAGAATGATATATTAGCGAGATTTCTGGTGATCATTTATTGTGATTGCTGTACAAGAAATTATCAGGTTCCTTTTGTAAGAGTGCAATACATATGGTACCGGGTAGTTCAATAAGAATGGCTTTCGAAAATATCTGAGGAACCGTTTATAGTACCTACAGCTTCTGAAAAAAAAATTAAATGACTAAAGTGGCAACAAGAAAAATCTGGAAATTATTTAGAATCGTAAGATAACCGTTAGATTGCGTACTTGACTGCTTATTTTATACAAAAATTATTATGTTAAGGTTTTTTAAAAATATGAAAATTCTGTATATTTTTGGCAAGAATAATTTCTGTCTATCTTGTCATATAAGAGGTGGGGGAAGTCGGAACCGTGATTAGAACCAAAGCTTGCAAATCTGGTTCTGCTTAATCTAATTTTTCAAACTTGGTCTTGTCGAAAACAACTCTTTTCCACCAATGTAATATTTATAAATTCGAAACAATCTAATGTTACGTGCATGCTGGGAATGGCCAAAATTGTTAAATTCCGTTCAGAGTACTCGATTCAAGAAAAATACATTTCTAAGATTTTTCTGGAGATTCAAAATCTCTCTTTTGCACTGGTAATAATAATGTTCTTACATTAAATTTTATTTATTTAAAAAAAAACTGTCTTTAGTTGGTCTAGTCATTTTGTTCAATGTTGTCTACGTTAATTGTTAATGTCCTATAAAAAAATTTAAACTCTTGTTGTAGGTATTTCGTATAGTACGACACAATTAATTGAAACATGCAAATAAAAATATTTTTTCCAGATATCAATAAATGATATTGATCAAAAAAATGTATGTATTATGTTTACAAATAAAGTACTTGAGTATGAGTGAATATTTTGCAACATCTTTTAGGTTTAAGTTTTAAGCTGTTTAGTGATCTTTATCAAAGTTCAAAATAATTGAAAATATTCATTAATATTTTTAATTTTTCTTGATATATACAAACACATTTTTGCAAAATTATTGTTTCTGTATTTCTTGAAAATTTCACAGATTTTACTCGAAAGTTGGTGTATCACTGCATCACTTTGAAAACTTTTTTCCATTATGCTTTTACTATCACGATTTTGAAAACGCGCGTCAAAAAATTAAACCTCTGCTATTGCTAGACCACCGCTGGTTATCATTCAAAATAAACTTGATGAAAAGCTCTCTCAAAAGATACACACCGAAGCATTGGTGCGCTAATCAAAGAGGATGGCATGAAAACTGCCAACCTCGAAGATAACATCAAACTTCTGCTGTCAACACACTTCCCTGACTCGGTCATCACAGACGTGGCGGACTGGGCAGAGGAAGAATACAATCCATCTGTCTATGATTGGCAAACTGCCAAATACATTGTAGACGATGAAAAAATTAGATGGGCAATATCCAGCTTCTCTCCATTTAAAAATCGCCAGGACCTGACGGTATCTATCCAGCCCTACTTCAGTGGGGTCTGGAAGAACTCACACCGCACCTGGTGGGTATATTCAGATCCTCGTTGGCTCTGAGGTATATCCCCCAAAAATGGAGAGAGGTAAAAGTGGTATTTATACCAAAACCTGGATGGATGGATTACACTGTCCCAAAAACATACCGATCAATTAGTCTATCTTTTTCCATGAAGACATTGGAAAAGCTATGCGAAAGGTACATAAGGGATGCGATGATTACAACAACACCACTACACCCAATCTAACATGCATACAACCCAGGCAGATCTACTAATTCAGCCCTTAATCTAGTTGCTGACCGGATAGAAAGATCCCTGGACAATAAGGAGCCCGCCTTGGATGTTTTCATAGACATAGAAGGTGCTTTTGATAAAACCACCTTCCCAAAGATAATACACTCACTAACCAACAGGAATGTTCCACAAATGGTTAGTGGGTGGATACATAACATGCTTTCAAAGCGAGCAGTAAACATAAGTGTAGAAGATGTGAATATAAGAGACTTGGTTGCGGGGGGATGTCCACAGGGAGGGGTGCTATCACCTCTACTGTGGAATATGGTCCTCGACACCCTCATCAGCCGCCTTAATAATGATAGTCACTACACAATAGCATATGCAGATGACCTAGTCATTCTGCAAACAGGGAATTTTGAGAACATACTCTGCGAAAGAATGCAAGTAGCTCTAAAAATTATAGAACAGTGGTGCAAGGACCAATCACTGTCTATCAATCCTAAGAAGACAGAAATGATCCTTTTCACAAGGAAAATGATGAAAATGGAATTAAAACCTCTAGAACTCCTAAACACAAAACTAAACTTTGCAACAGAGGTGAAGTACCTAGGTCTTACCTTTGACAGCAAGTTAACATGGAACTCGCATTTAGAACAGAGTTAAAAGAGCATACATTGCTTATGAACAATGCCGCCGAACCGTGGGACGCACCTGGGGTTTCTCCCCCAGAGTCGTCGCATGGACTTACACGGCTATCATAAGACCTATGGACTTCATCGCACCGAGATATATCTTCCATAAGCTATATAAAGTTATAACAGAACAAATAGAAGAGCCGGAAGTGGCAGGCACGATTCATATCTACACCGATGTTTCTAAAACAAAACAAGGCTCAGGATGTGGAATATACTCCAGATTCTTAAACCTAAATATAAAATGGGCTGTGATCAATAGTGTCAGTGTAATTCAGAGCTAACGGGATTCTCCTAGCAGCAAAAGAAATAACCAGAAACAATATCACTGGAAGGAACATGCTCATATATACAGATAGCAGACAAGCACTACACACCCTGAACAGACCACGAATTTATTCAGGGTTAGTACTAGACTGTCACGAAGCTTTTGCCGAAGTATCCATCAACAATGTGGTTACCTTAAGATGGATTAAAAGTCACGCCACATCGAAAGGTAACCGTCTTGCTGATTCACTAGCCAAGAAAGCAGCCAACCAAATACTTTTTGGACCTGGCCCTTCTATTGGCCTAACAAAATCGGTAGTGACAGACCTAATCAAAGAACATTCAAGGAAAGATGGGATGAAACAAGAAACTGCAGAGTTTCCAGGGAGCTCTTAAATTATCCTGACAACACTGCAGCAAACAAATACTTGACTATGACTAGACAGAACCTGCGCCTAGTCACAGGTATTCTGACTGATCATTGCCAAGTACGAAAGCATCTCCATATCATGGGGCTGTTTGAATCTGCTCTCTGCAGAGGGTGCGAACAAGAAGATGAGACCATCGAACATATCCTTTACGATTGCTCGACGCTCTCATTTATTAGAAAATTTGTGTTCGGCGAGTATTGGCTAACACCGCCCGATATAAGAGAAGCACCTCTTGGCGACATTGTCAACTACATTAAATCTGTAGGCTGGTTCACGAGCTAGGAGGTGCCTATCATCTTAGGAGGATGCACAATGGGCTTAATGAGGCCTAAGTGCCGTGGGGACAACCCACCCTCCACACGTTGCAGATATAGATACAGATTGCTAAATATATCCAAAGTACATGAATGTTCCCTTGTGGATGTCAATCAAGTCTCTTCATATTTAATTAATATTATATTTAACTACTGAACAGACATAAGCAACTGGTAGAGTAGGGAGGATCAAGGACAAGTTAATCTTAGAATTGCTTAACGCAAATTTAGACCAAATAAGGATTTTACTAATTAATTCTAACACTTATTATTTATGTCGACTCCTATACAAAATCCTAAATAGGAGAATGCTGAATTTGTTAAACCCGCTATTGTCTATATGAGATCTATTAATTTTATCTTATTATGTAATGCACATTATATTGTTAGATATTTCTTTTAATTTTAAGTTGCTAGATTTTATACTGTATATTGTTAAATTGGTTTTTAAGTTTTTTTTTTATAGTTTATTGTTTATAGCATTTATAGCTGTGGAATTTTACAGTTTTATATCTAATAAATAAATACCATGTTCTTTTTTCAAAAATCTCTGTATATCCTCATTAAACTTTTTCCTGACTTTACATATAAAAATAATGCTTCTGTTTTAAATCGTGTAGGCGTGTATTTTAGAATAGAAAATTTAATTGGAACTACAGTGAAGATGTTGCCCTTGGTTTTTAGCTTCTTCTTAACAATGACTTAAATACTAAAGGAGACATTTAATGTGAAGCTTCTTGAAGTGACATTTAAATTAATGGACGGCAAAAAAATATTTTTTGTTCGCTTTGTAAGTCGTTAACCCAAACAGCTATTTATAACGCTAATGAATGGCATTTTTTTTCTTTATTTATTTTCCTGTGGTATATCTAAAATTAAGTAAGATACAAATCTTACGGATTCATTTAAAATTTCCCATACTAGCTTGTAAACAACTCGAATTATTTCCGTTTGTCCACTTTCATCTCGACGCAATTACTTTCATCTTGACACGATGCAAAACTAAAAATAGTTTCACTTTTATTTTTGTTTCCAAATTGTTCAACATAATATGTGTTGTTTCTGCC